AATGATATTCACAAATGCCATGAACCTTGGCATGGTGGCAGTTTTATTTCTCCTACTCTAGCAAGGCCCTCTTTGAACTATGGTGTCTAAAAATAATTAAACAGTACTACTGGATGTCTCATTAAATATGTTGTCTAAGTAACTACCATCACTTTCTAAACTTCCAGCACACATCGTATATTCCACCACATTCTGTGAACTGGGCCATAATTATCTGCCAATAAGCCACTTTGATTCTCTCCTCTCAGATTCTTTCTGAGTCTTGTCACTATGATCATGTGAGTATATTTAGAGAAGCACCCTAATCTGAATAGTCCTTATAAACAGGACTTTTGTCCTGCCTTGAAAATTATGAAGAAAGCTAATGATCCAGGTAAAATCTGCCAATAATGTTCCCTATAACTTGCTTAAGATAATACATGTTAGATACTCAATAAAATATACGTGAATAAATTAGTAAGGACTTAGCATCTGATATTAATTTACAGATTCAGAGATATTTGAGGAAAGTTGTAATTACCAACTGGTTAAATATTTCTCTCAATTGAAAAAAAAAAAAATAAAATGGTCCTTCAGCTCTGGGTGGGCACCTTTCCATGTAGCAGATCAATGCCCAACAATCCCACTATCCAGCAGGACTGTATAGATACTTGCAATATGATGACATGTATTATGTGGCTCTAAAGACACAAGGCATAGATTCCTATTACCTAAGCTGTCTGGAAATCACTCTCACATCCACTCCTTCTGGCCAGGGTACAGAGAAGTCACCACGGAGAGAATATACAAAGGAATACAAGTTTCACTGGCTCATGGTCTTTGGTTCCTAAGGTGATTGCCTCTCATGTAAATAAACTCTTCTTAGAAGAGAGTACTCCCAGACCTCTCCTGAAATGTCCCCTCATGAAGGAACCATCATTTCATTGTCCTGAACCAGAGAAATGTAAAGATTACAATCTCCAGTGTCTGCTATCTTTTAGGTGAACACCACAGTAAAAATGAATGGGTGACTGGAAAGTCAGTCCAGCAGAAGCCACACAGGAAGAAAGGACTCATTACCTCTGCAGAAGTAAAGGGGAAAAGAAATTCATTGCCTCTTGCTAATATTACCTATTTTTAAAACTGTCTACAATTCTAGGCCATTGCATTCTTAGCCATCAATATTGTTACTTTTCCTAAAATAGCTATTTTTGAAAATTGCCCAAACTCACCTCAGTGTTAGGCACAATTCTATTCATGGCTGAGAAGACTTAGGAGTTCCTCAAAATCTGGAATGGCATCTTCTTACATAAGATTTGTAGTCTCCCTGGAGATTCTCAAGTAAGATGTCCCAGGTGGATTGAAGCTCCAGAATTAGATATCATTGAGGCTCCAGAAGTAGATATCTCAAAGGGATTCTCATTGAAAGAGAATAAACTTTCAGCCTGGTGGTATCAGATCTATATATGGAAGCTTCTGAGTAGAAAAGGAAACAACAGAAACCAAACACATTAAAAGTAATGCCTTTTCCTAAGTGGGAAATGTGACCACCAAGTGTAGTGATGAACATCATTGAATAGTTTTTTTTCCTCAGGGCACCTGGCTGGCTCAGTCAGTTACGTGTCTGCCTCTTAATTTTCACTGAGGTCATGAGCCTCCCAGTTCATGAGTTGGAGGCTTCCATTGGGCCCTGCTGACAAAGCAAAGCCTGCTTGGGATTCTCTCCATCTCATTCTACCCCTCCCCTGCTCAAGCTTGCTCACTTGGTCTCTCTCTCAAAACACATAAATAAACTTAATTTTTTTCTCTTATTACTAAAGAAATACATCCTTTATGTAGTAAATCTGGAAAACACAGAAAAGTACAAAAAAGTTGGAATCACTTGTAAATCCAGTACAGGGGAATAACCACCTTAAATTGATTTCTGTACTTCAGGGGTGCTGAGCTGGCTCAGTTGATGGAGCATACCACTCTGGATCTTGGGATTGTGAATTTGAGCCCCATGTGGGTGTACAGATTATTAAAAAATAAAATCTTAAAAAAATAAAAAGTTTTCTGTACTTCACTTACTCATTTTATAATTATTATGTGTAATATTCTTTTTTTTTACACATTTCAGAGTATATAGAAGTTTGAATACTAAATTTCTTCTCTGCATAGTATTATTTTGTGACCATTTTCTCATGTTATTCTGTATACATTGAAATAAAAATTTTCAGTAGCTTAACTTCTTTCACCCAATATAGATACCAGATTTAATTATATCTTTACTCTTAAATATTTATATTATTTCTCATTTTTTCTACCAAAATAATTCTTCTATGGATATTATAATCTACTCTGTGTTACTGATTTTTCCTCTCTTATGATAATAAGAAATAGAATTGAATTTTGTGGCGTCAAAAGGCATGGGCAATTTTAATTATATTGATAAGTGAAAAACAAAATTTCCATAAGATTGTTTTGATTTTCATTTCTGTACAGTGTTATCAGACTCTCCCCTCTATCAGTATTCATTATTATATGCTCTCTGGTCTCCAGCTGCACTGGTGAGACTGCATCTCTTTGGGTTTTTTTAAAAAATTCTATTTAATTTTTTTTAAATTTACATCCAAATTAGTTAGCATATAGTGCAGCAATGATTTCAGGAGTAGATTCCTTAATTTCCATTACCCATTTAGCCCATCCCCTCCTCCCAGAACCCCTCCAGTAACCCTCTGTTTATTCTCAATATTTAAGAGTCTCATATTTTTGTCCCCCTTCCTGTTTTTATATTTTTTGCTTCCTTTCCTTTATGTTCATTTGTTTTGTATCTTAATGTCCTTATATGAGTGAAGTCATATGATATTTGTCTTTCTCTGACTTATTTTGCTTAACATAATACCCTCTAGTTCCATCCATGTAGTTGCAAAAGACAAGATTTTGTTCTTTTTGATTGCCGAGTAATATTCCATTGTGTATATATATCATACCTTCTTTATCCATTCATCCACCAATTGACATTTGGGCTCTTTCCATACTTTGGCTATCATTGATAGTGTTGCTATAAACATTGGGGTGCATGTGTCCCTTAGAAACAGCATACATTTATCCGTTGGATAAATGCCTAGTAGTGCAATTGCTGGGTCATAGAGTAGTTCTATTTTTAATTTTTTGAGGAAGCACCATACTGTTTTCCAGAGTGGTTGCACCAGTTTGCATTCCCACCAGCAGTGCAAAAGAGGTCTTCTTCCTCTGCATCCTCGCCAACATCTGTTGTTGTCTGAGTTGTTAATGTTAGCCACTCTGACTGGCGTGAGGTGGTATCTCATTGTGGTTTTGATTTGTATTTCTCTGAAGATGAGTAATATTGAGCATCGTTTTATGTGTTTGTCGGACATATGGATGTCTTCTTTGGAGAAGTTTCTGTTCATGTCTTTAGCCCATTTCTTCACTAGATTATTTGTTTTTTTGGGTGTTGAGTTTGATAAGGTCTTTATAGATACTGGATACAGTATCTATATCCAGTATCTAAACCCTTTATCCTGTTTGTAGTTTGCAAATATCTTCTCCCATTCCATCTGTTGCCTTTTAGTTTCGCTGATGGTTTCCTTCTTTGTGCAGAAGCTTTTTATTTTGATGAGATCCCAAAAGTTCATTTTTGCTTTTATTTCCCTTGCCTCCGGAGACGTGTTGAGTAAGAAGTTGCTGTGGCCAAGGTCAAAGAGGTTCTTGCCTGCTTTCTCCTCGAGGATTTTGATGGCTTCCTGTCTTTCATCCATTTTGAATTTATTTTTGTATATGGTATAAGAAAGTGGTCCATGTTCATTTTTCTGCATGTCGCTGTCCAGTTTTTCCAGCACCACTTGTGAAAGGGACTGTCTTTATTCCACTGAATATTCTTTCCTGCTTTGTCAAAGATCAGTTGGCCATACATTTGTGGGTCCATTTCTGGGTTCTCTATCCTGTTCCATATCTTTGGTATTTTAGCTTCAGTTAAAATAAACTTCATTTGTAGTGATTATAAACATTATTTTCAAGTGGTTTTGGTCAATTGTTTGTCTCATCTTTATATTATCCATTCACTGCCTTATCTATGTTTAGTGGAGGTGTTAGTCTGCAATACTATTATAATAAATAGCAATACTATTGCTTGCTAGGGACCTTCAGTACTGAAGTATAAATCCATTTGCTGTCATAGTTTTCAAACTTTTTCCAAGATAGTATTTGGCCTTAAATTATTTTACTGTGGACAGAGATTGAATTGTTTTTTTCTTTTTTTCTCTCTGTTTTGCTTTTTTGAAAATTTATTTTTAATTTAAAAAATGTTTATTGACCTTCAACAGAGAGACAGAGACCGGGCATGAGCCAAGGAGGGGCAGAGAGAGAGGGAGATACAGAATCTGAAGCAGGCTCCAGGCTCCAAGCAGTCAGCATAGAGGATAATGTTGGGCTTTTACCTACAAACTGTGAGATGATGACCTGAGCCAAAGTCAGATGCATAACTGATTGAGCCACCCAGGTACCCCACAGCGTGAGAATCATAGCTGACTCCACTCTCAGCATGGAGTCCAATGTAAGGTTCAATATCATGACCCGAGCAGAAATCTAGAATTGGACACCCAACCAATTGAGCCACCCAGGCACACACACACCCTTTTCTCTCTTTTATTGAAGAAACATATTTCCATACTTCAACCCTTTCATGGGAAATGACATACATTAGAAAATAAAGGTGCATTACCCCACAAACTCACATCTCACCTGGTCCCTAAAGTAAATGCTATTAAAGCCTAAATTCTGGTGTATATATTTCCAGGAGTATTTTTATATGAAGCATTCAATAAAATTTTAATTATTAACCATTTTGATATTGTTTTGTTAGCTTTCTGCCTTAATGATATTGCTAGAAAAGAGTACCATAGTCCTCCTAATCTGCAGTTTTGCTTTCTGATGTGTCAGTTCATCTGTCAGCTGTGGTCCCAAAGCAGATGATCCTCAGAAGGTCAGTAGTAGCCTAACAATGCATCGTTGTGCCTACATCATTCACTTCCCTTCACCTCAACAGGTAGGCATTTTGTCATCCCCTATCATCACAAGAAGAAGGGGGAGTAGAGCACAATAAGATATTTTGAGAGAGAGAGACAGAGACCACATTCACATAACTTTTATTACTGTATATTGTTATAATTGTTCTATTTACTTATTAGTTATTGTCATTAATCTCTTACTGTGCTTAATTTATAAACTGAGCCTTAATATATAGGGTTTGGCCTTGTCTGTGGATTCAGGCAGCCACTGGAGTCTTGGAACATATCCTCCCGTAAATAAGGGCATCAACTGTAACAGACTTTCAAATTGACTACTTGAAAAGACAACTTTAATAAAATAAGATTTGGTTTTGTTAAATAAATAGACTACACATAAAATTATTTGGACAAAATGTAAATCAATGCAACTATATTCCAAGATTACATTTGGGTCTCTGTATAAATTCTCTCCCTTTATATTTGAAATTTAGGAAAATAAGAATGGGCATGAGAGGGGCGCCTGGGTGGCTTAGTCGGTTAAGCGTCCGACTTTTGCTTAGGTCATGATCTCGCGGTTCGTGGGTTCGAGCCCCGCGTCAGACTCTGTGCTGACTGCCAGCTCAGAGCTTGGAGCCTGTTTCAGAGTCTGTGTATCCTTCTCTCTCTGACTCTCCCTTGCTCACGCTGTCTCTCTCTCTCTCTCCTAGAAATAAATAAAAATATTTTTAAAAAAAAGAATGGATATGAGAAATTAGTTAACTATAGAGCAAGGATTCTTAACTTGGAGAGTGTAGTGCCCAAACTAGTTATACTAAACTGCATCAAGATCTTCTAGGAGACTTTTTAAAAACAGAGACAATGAGGCATACTATAATCTATCACTTTTGCTCATAAATATTTGCATTAAGTTTGGGAATTGACAGAACTAACCATTCTTAATAAAGATATTTTATTTCCATTTTTTATTAATTTCGTTTTTATTATTATTATTTTTTTAATCTTTTTTAATGTTTTTTTTTATTTATTTCTAGGAGAGAGAGAGAGAGACAGCGTGAGCAGGGGAGG